TGCAATTTCAGCAAAGGACAGATCATCCAGACAGAAAATTAACCAGGGAAGATCAGAATTAATCTCTACTCTAGGCCGATTGGACCTAACAAACATATATAGAACATTTCATCCAACAGCTGCAGAGCACACATTCTTCTCAGCAGTACATGGAACATCCTCTAGAATGACCATACGTTAGGTCCCAAAACAAGTGTCAATAAATTTTTAAAAATTAAATCATATCAACCACCTTGTCCAGTCACAATGGAATAAAATAGAAATCAACAACAAAAGGAACAATAGAAACCATGTAAATACACAGAAATTAATGAAAAGGCAACCTTCCCACATCATTGGTGGGAGTGTAAATTGACACAGCCATTGTGGAAAACAGTATGGAGTTTCCTCAGATAATTGAAAATAGATCTACCTTGCAACTCAGCTATCCCACTACGGCGTATATACCCAAAGGAAATGAAATCAATATATCAAAAAGATACCTGTTGGGCCGGCCCCGTGGCTCACTCGGAAGAGTGCGGTGCTGACAACACCAAGGCCACGGGTTCGGATCCTATATAGGGATGGCCGGTTTGCTCACTTGGTGAGCGTGGTGCTGACAACACCAAGTCAAGGGTTAAGATCCCCTTACCGGTCATCTTTTAAGAAAAAAAAAAAAAGATACCTGTTCATCTCAGTGCTATTCACAATAGCCAAAAGATGGAATCAACCCAAATGCACATCAACAGATGAATGGATAAAAAAAACTGTGGTATCCATATACCATGGAATATTACTCAGCTAGAAAAAGAAATGATATCCTATCATTTGCAGCAACATGAATGGGACTGGAAACCATCATGTTAAGTGAAGTCAAGTCAAGCACAGAAAGACAAATACCACATGGTCTTACTCGTATATGTTATCTAAAAAAAAAAAAAAAATTTTTTTTAAAGTGGTCCTCATAGAAATAGAGAATAGAATAGTGGTTACCAGACACTGGAAGGGTGAAGCAGGGGCAGGGAGAGGAGAATGAGCAGACTGATGAGTAATGAGTACAAAACTATGCTCTCTACCCTAAGTGAATCATTGAGCAGTATATGTGTGTATTGAAACAACACATTGTACCCCACAAAAATAAATATAAATAAAATTGAAGAAAAATTTTTAAAATAAATAAACATAAAAATATGGCTTCTAATAATTGTATGTGTGCCTCTTAGATCCTTTCAGACAAGAGGGCTTTTAACAATCTTAAGAGCATTTTCTCACAGCACCCTGATTCTCAGTCTAATGTGGGGAGGAACAAGTCTCAGAAAGATTTGTAGATGTGGTTTTTGTCTAATTAAGTGAATTATAAATTGATGTACAGGAAGGCCACAACATTTTTAAAAGAATTACATCATTTTGGACTAAAAAGGACAGAGATAACTCAAAGCAAAGAAGCTTATGGGTTTTAACTTCCTATGGGCAGGAAGCCAACTGACAAAGCTACTTAGCTATAAAAACCAACATTTCTCATGGAAACCAAAGAGTTAATTCAAAAAAATGAAGCAAAGTGCCTAGAGGATGGAGCCAAGAGCCAAGAAAAGCCATTTATAGAAAGCAGAACTGGGCCTTCATCAAGGATCTGGTGACCTGTATCTGACTCAATTTCAGAATTGCTATGGACCAATGACCACTTTGAGCCTTTAATATACCACCATCTCCTTTTAAATAGGGGTGTTTATTGGAGTTATCTGTCTTTGTTGCACCTTTGAACATTGAATGTGTTCTTCACAGGTCTTCAGGCCAAGAGGAACCATTGTTGCTGAGCTGTACTGGAGGAACTGCCCCTGAGAAGCCTCATTCATATCTGGACTGTGTTAGATAACAAGATCCTGAACTTCAAGTTGATGGCTTAATGGAATGAGATTTCATGGGTCTTGGGAAGTAGGTAAGTGTATTTTGGACGGATGGGAGGGATGTGAATTGTGGTTGCTAGAAGACAAATTAAGGTATAAAGTCTCCAAAGATTGCATGCATGCTGCTCCTCACAATAACAAATGTCTAATTCTCTTTGCCTTGGATGTGGGCCAACCTTAATAACTTCTTTGATCAATAGAATGCAGCAGAAATGATGTGGATTTCTGCTTATATGGATTTCTGGATTTCTGTTTGGATTTCTGAAATAAATCTTAAGAAGCCTCACAGCTTCCATTTGGGCCTCATGCAATGCTCACTTTGGGGCATGTCCTCTCAGAACCCAGTTGCCATGCTCTGAGAAGCTCAAGCCACAAAGAGAAACCATGGGTATGCACTCCAGCTGACAGTTCCAGCTGAGTTCAATTGTCAGGCATAATAAGTGAGCTAACTTAGATGTTGCGTTAACTTGAACTTTGAGATGACTCCAGCCCCAACTTTCATCTGTAGCTGCATGACAGACCTCAAGTGGACCCGGTCTACTAAGCCCTGTCTACCCATAGAACCATGGAAGATAATAAATTTATGTTTTAAGGGCCGGCCCGGTGGCGCACTGGATAAGTGTGCCGCTTGGGAAGCACGGCGGGCGCTCCCGCCCGAGGGTTCGGATCCCACATACAGACCGGTTCCCGCTCACTGGCTGAGCGAGGCGCGGGAGCAACGTCAAGGGTTGCAATCCCGTTGCCGGTCCCCGGTCCGGTACGGGGGCAACACTGAGGGTTGCGATCCGTTGCCGGACATAGAAAAAGAGACAAAAGACAAAAAAAAAAATTTATGTTTTAAGCCCCACATGTTGGGGTGGTTTGTTATGCAGCAACAGGTAACCAGTATAGCATCTCTGAGTCACCGAACCAAACCTGTTTACCCCAGACTTCTTATAGTGTGAGGCATTTAAACACCAATTTATTTAAGCTGCTGTAGTCAGGTTTTCTGTAACCCACAACTGAATACATTCCTAACTAGGAGAGAATTCAGTAACTAGAAGTGGGATCCATCAAGAAAAAGAACCTAAAATGTGGAATTGGATGATGATAGGAAAAATTAAAATATGAGGACCTAAACTTTGCAGGCTAGAAAGTTGGCAACCCTTGTTATAAGACGGCAAAGCATCTGTCAAGCTGTCACATGATGTACCTTAGGACACAGAATGTATAGCAACCTAGGCTATAATTTTAGGGAAAATGGTAGAAAAAATTAGAATTTTGGCATGAGCTGGCTCCTAGTAGCTGTTAGCAGACACCAACAGGAGAGAAATGAACTCAAACTAGAGCTAGCCCATCTGAAAACAGACATAAAAGAAATGCCACTTTTCTAAAAACAGGTACACTGCCTGTCTTGGTCCGTATCTATCGCACATCCAGTTTCCCCTATTATTAACATCTTACATTAGTATGCTACATTTGTTACAGTTAAGATAATGATATAATTATACTTATATATCAGTATTGACACATTATAATGAACTAACATCCGTACTTTATTTGTATTGCCTTAGTTTTCACCTCTTGTCCTTTCTCTGTTCTTCAGGATCCCATCCCAGATACCTCATTACACTTAGACTCCTCTTTACTGTGACATATTCTGAGAATTTCTTTTTTTTTTTTTTTTTTTTTTTTTATTTT